ACCAGATTCAGGAGTATGCACTTCTGGCAGGAGTATTCCAGAAATCATCCTTTGTTTTTATTGTATCTTATTAAGAAATATGTCATTTATTAACCCAATTGTTGGATTAAAGTGTTTGTCATGTTTCTCCACTATAAACACTCTTTGCTCTTCACTCTTATTTTGATATTCAGTAAGCAGTTTGTAGGGAGGCATATGAAACTATATAAATACCACATTGTCATTAAATAGTCACCCATAATTATTTATATAATTGTTTTTCTTTTTTTAAATTTTTGTGTATACATAGTAGGTGTATATATTTATGGGGTACGTGAGATGTTTGGATACAGGCATGCAATGTGAAATAAGCATATCATAGAGAGTGGGGTCTCACCCAAGGTCTACTGTAAGCACTTCCTGGCTACTGCCTATATTCACTCAAGGCCCTGGGCTCTACAATCAGCAGGTGACAAAGCTAGCCAGACCTGTGTTCTTCCTTCATGGCAGAAGGGTCCCCCAGGTCCCAGGTGGATCCAGAAGTGCCATCTAGGAGTTAGGGACTACAGTCAAAAACGTTAAATATCGGCCAGGTATGGTGGCTTATGCCTGTAATTGCAGTGCTTTGGGTGGCTGAGGTGGGCAGATCATGAGGTCAAGAGATCGAGACCATCCTGGCCAACATGGTGAAACCTCGTCTTTACTAAAAATACACATATTAGCTGGGTGTGGTGGTGCGTGCCTGTAGTCCCAGCTACTCTGGAGACTGAGGCAGAAGAATCACTTGAACCCGGGATGCAGGGATTGTAATGAACTGAGGTTGGGCCACTGCACTCCAGCCTGGCAACAGAGTGAGACTCTGTCTCAGATAAAAACAAACAAACAACTATAAAACAAACAACAAAACCCCTTAAATATCTACCTGGTGTTCTACTGTATTGCCCTGAGCTGGCACTCAAACCACAAGACACAGTCCTTCACGCTCTTCCCCTTCGTTTCCAAAGGCAGAGGAGCTTCACCCTGTGGCTGCCACAACCCCATGCCATAAGAAGTACTGCCAGGCTACTGCCAATGTTCCCTTAAGGCCCAAGGTCTCTTAAGTCAGCTTACGGTGAATGCTGCCTGGTCTGGGACTCACACTTCAGGGCAGTTGACTATCTTCTGTCCCAGAACAGGTCCAGAAATGCTGTCTAAGATTCAAGTCCTGGAAATGAGTACCCCAGGAGTTTACTTGGTGCTCTACTTTCCTCTGGCTATGCTGGTACCTAAGGTGTAAAACCAAGTCCCCTTTACTTTTTTCTTTGCTTTTCTCAAGCAGAAGGAATCTTCCTCCATAGCCACCACAGCTAATGATGCACTGAGTCCCACCTGAAGCCAGCAAGCCTCAGAGGCTCACCCAAAGCCCTCAGTGTAGTACTTGGGTATCACTGCTGGTTATTCAGAGCCCAAGGGCTCTTTAATTAGCAGGCGATAAATGCTGCCAGTACTGAGTCCTTTCCTTCAAGGCAACAGGTTCCCTTCTGACTCTGTGTGTGTCTAGAAATGTCTGAAACCTAGGGCCTGGAATGGGGGCCTCACAACTCTGACTGGTGCCCTATCCTGGTGTAGCTGAGCTGGTATCCCCTTAGAGTTGCTGCTTTTATGGCCCAGACTGCCTTTCAAGTTTACTTGGAGACACAGAACACTGTAGCCCTCTGTGGGAATGTTTGTAGGCATTCATGTTCTGACTGCTGGGATTGGTGATTTCCCTCAGGCTAGGTCTGGGATTTTTTTTTTCCAACTTCAGAATTCAATTTTATTATATGACCCCATCTAGCTCAATAATATTTAAGATCAGCAACTCAGTGTGGGATGGTGCTCGAAGTCATTCCACTTTTCACTTTAGAACATAAGCTGGTTCCACTTATGATACTGTGTATTCTAAGCCAGCATCATTGTAGCTGATAGTCTCTTCTCACCCAGCTTTGATGGTGGCGCAGCTCCCATGTCTGCAGCTGTGGTCCAGGGGCTGTCTGTGCTGAATACAGAAGTTGCTGTGACACTAGGCACACGCCATCTGCAGCATCTCTTTTTTCTTGCATCCCTCTTTTGAGCACAGGTATATAAAAGTCTTCTTTCTTCTTCCCAGGCTGATAGTCATATTCTCCATCAGCGTGATCACCAACCACCATGTCTGGTATCTAACAAAGTTCTCCCCATTCTTCTGTCTCCTCTCTTCAAGTGGAATGAAGGGGTTTCTTTTGGAGCACGAGCTGTGCAGCCTGGGGTTAAGGAAAGGTTTTGCCAGCACTCCCTTAGCTGCCCCAGCTGGTGTCTCCGTGGGCGGCATGTTCCACCAGCCCGCTATTCCTGGGTCTAGTTCAGCACCAAAACTCCCCTAAGAGTTGCTGTTTTTATGGCCCAGATTGCCTTCCAAGTTTACCCAGAGACACAGGACACTGTAGCCCTCTGTGGGGATGTTTGTAGGGACTCATGTTCTGACTACTAGAATTGGTGCTTTCCCTCTGGCTAGGGCTGTTTTAAATGCTCCCTTTGTGGGTGGGGTCTGCTGAGTTTGATATGGCTTTCCTTTCTGCTCTAACAGGACAGCACTGAGTTCATTGCCTCACGATTGCTGTGCTCTCCCTCCCCAGCCCCCAGAGATGCTCTCTGTTACAGGCCTCTGCGGCTGAGGGTGAGGGAGGGGTGGCATGGGCAATTCAGGACTGTTTTTTCTGTCTCTTCAGTGTCTCTTTCAGCAATATTAAGTTAAAACCAGGTACTAGGAGTGCTCATCTGATTTTTGTTTTTTATGAAGGTGTTTTTACTGTGTAGATAGTTGTTCACTTACTGTCCTTGTGAGGGTGGACAATAGGTGGAGCTTTTTATTACACTATTTATTCCCTCTTCAATTTCACCCACTGGTATTAATACCTATAAATATTTCTTTGACTGAATTAATTATTTTGAAAAAGTTTTCCAAATGATAATTTTCTAAATGAATTATTGCTCTCATATTTTGTCACCGGCCTTCTACTGTGACAGTTTCTGTGCTCTCAATTAATTAATTAATTAGTGTCTGTGTGGGCTCATGGATTCCTATTTTATTTGATGAGTTAATGTTAGAAACGATTGCTACTTAACTATATGTGTTCATTTAAAATAAACTTTTTGAAACATAATTTACTTGCAGTAAAACAAAACTATTCTTGGTGTATTGTTTTGAGTTTTGACAAATGTATACATCAGTGTAACTACCAAGCCAATCAAGACGTGGAAGATTTCTATTACTTTAAAATGGTCTCTCGTGTTCCTGTGCAGTAAACCTTTTCTCTCATGTCAAGTGGTCCCAGGCAACCACTCTTTTTTTTATTCACTACAGTGCAGCTTTGCCTATTGTAAAATTTAAAATAAACAGAACTCTGCTACATGTGCCCCTTTTGTGTCTGGATTATTCTCCTCATTATGGTGGTTTTGATACTTCTGTATGCATTTTAGTGTATGTGTAGTTTTGTTACATCATAGTATTCTATTTGTATACCAAAAACTATTTATCCTTTCACTGATCGATGAACATTTCGGTTATATTCATGTTGAGAATAAAGCTACTATGAATATCCATATACAAGTCCTTTTTGGCATTGGAAATATTACTATATTTGAGCAAATACTCTTAGAATTGCCGTTGAGTCTTTTAATATGTGATTGCCTTCAAATAAACCATCCAGCTGTTTTTCAAAGTGGCTGTACCATTTTGTATTTCCACCAGTGACAAGTGAAAGCCTCAGATGCTCCACATCATCATCAATGTTTGGTATTGTCGGTTTTATTAACTTTAATCGCACTAGTTAGTGTGGAGTGGTCCCTCTTTATGGTTTTAATTTGCATTTCCCTGATAAGTAAGCATTTGTTTATATATTTACTGGATATTTATATATTTTCTGTTGTGAGATGTCTGTCCACATATTTTGTCTATTTTTTATTGTGTTTTTTCCTTCTTACTGAGTTGTAAGAATTCCTTTTTATTATTAAGATACAATTCCTCATCAAGCATATGTGTTACAAATATTTTGTCCCATTCTTTGAATTTCTTTTTAATTTATATATATATTTAAAGATTTCTACTATATATAGAACACAAAATATATAATATATACAAGTTTATTATATTTTATTTTATTATATATAAAATATGTAATATTTATTTTAATTTAATATAATTAATTACATATAAAATAAAATAATAAAATAATTAAATAAAAATAAAATTAAATAAAATTAAATTAAATTAAAAAATAAAATAAAGAATGAAATAATTATTTATTATTTTATGTATAATATAAAATAAAATAATTTTTATTTTGGTAAGGTATTATATAGAAAATATATATTTTATTATATAGAAAATATATAATATTTTATAATATAGAAAATATGTAATATTTTATATTTATATAAAATAAAATATGTAATATTTTATATGTATGTAAGAAAATATGTTATATATATTTTCTTTTTATCTTTCCTATGGTGCTGAGTAATTTTCTTAAAGGTGTTTTGGAAAAACAGGAGTTTTTTACTTTGATGAGGTCCAATTTTTTTTTCTGTTATGCTTGGTGCTTTTGTGTGTGTGTGTCCTTCCTGAACAATCTTTGCATATCAAACAACAGCCTTGATAGGACTCCTATGCAGAATTCTGGAATTTTTCTCTATGATGTTCTCTGCTCTGTGGTGTTCTGCTCTATAAATCTCAGCCACTTTTGCTTTCCTGAAGTTCAATCTCTGGTTATTCAAGACTTTTCAAAAAATTTATTCCTGAATCAATTAAGAGTTAGTTACTGACAAGGTGCCACAGCATTCTGAAAACGTTGATGTAGTCACTAGAAGGCTGCCATATGCTACCTAGTTTTCCTTATCCTTGTCTTTAGACCAGAAAATGTCTTCAGACAGAAAGTCTGATGAGTTTTGGACTCATCTCATGAATTTTCCTTTTCTCAGGGATCATAGCCATGTACTGCCTATTGCCAAATAGATCAAACCAGTGGTATTAAATATTTTATTCAGTTTATAGTTGTTTATGCTGAGAGGGCAAGTTACTCCATCAGGTACAGGTAGAAGTTCTCTAAGAGACTAACAATTCAATTTTGAAACAGACATTGAAAAGTAAAATGTAGGCTGCAACACCATTCTTTCTTATGAATTTCATTTTATAGAATTAAATCCCTGAACCATTGGATCCTTGAAGTATACTTTCATAAATCCTACAAATTCATCAGGTCTATATAAGCACTGCCCAGTTCTAGTTGGAGTAATATGACTGGCTTTTCTCAAGTAAAATTGAAGTCTAGTGGGTGATGTTCAGGAATACGAGTAACAGGAATAAACACTTCCATGGTCCTTCAGAAATCGTGCTGTTAAATACATAAATACATACAAAAATGTGAGGGGTGATCCTAAATGTCAAATAGAAGTACGTACTTATACTTACATAGACCTGGTAAATGACTGAATGCTTTCATCCGTAGTCATGAACAAGCTCTAAATAAAAATGCAAAGATATATTAAAGTGCATTAAAATGCAAAGCATAAGTTAGTCTCCAAAAAATAAACTTTTGCTTCAGTAAAGCTTATTGGACTTATTACATTTCTCCCCATATTCTCATCTGCCACAATTATTCTTATAAACAACTAACTTCCATTTTTTAAGGTTAAAAATCACACTACCCTTGAATCATAAAATTTGTTCATTGTGGATTTTTCATCTTTTCATTATCTAGTAGAAGTACCATATGTTTCTGAACTCTGACCATGATGATAATGTTTCTTAACATTAGTCATGAATAGTGAAGATAATATAGATTAATAAGAATTTTATGAGAAATTTGACTGTCACACAGAAATTGATACTTTTTCTAGGTTCTCCCACAAAGTTTTTGGTTTAATTGTTTCTATTCAGTGTTATTATAGCTAGACACACAGAAAAGAGTTTGAAAGAAGCTTCAGATTGCTTAAATTTCACTTTTTGTAGCAGGAGAAATAAATGTGGAGAGACCCAGCTTCACTCTCCTCATTAATTTCCATCCAGCTAAATAAAATTTACACAGTAAAGTTGTGGAACAGAGGGTTTGGCTACAAACAGGGCAAAATACGTGATATGTGGTAGGAGATCATCTGCACGTTTCATTTCACAGAACTGACAATTATTTATCAATAAAGAGCTTCTTAATCATCTAGTGTCTTAGTTATTTTATACAATCATAAATAATAATAATCTAAAAATTATCCGTGCCTAGCAATCTCAGTAGAATCTGGGAACATCACACACCGGGGCCTATCACGGGGAGGGGGGAGGGGGGAGAGATGGCATTGGGAGTTATAACTGATGTAAATGACGAGTTGATGGGTGCTGACAAGTTGATGGGCACAGCACACCAACATGGCACAAGTATACATATGTAACAAACCTGCACATTATGCACACGTACCCTAGAACTTAAAGTATTAAAAAAAAAAAAAAGATGTGTAAGCATGGGCTGGGCATGGTGGCCCACGTGTGTAATCCCAGCATTTTGGGAGGCTGAGGCAGGCAGATAACCTGAGGTCAGGAGTTCAAGACCAGCCTGGTCAAGATGGTGAAACCCCATCTCTACTAAAAAAGTACAAAAATTAGCCAGTCATGGTGGTGGGCTCCTGTAGTCCCAGCTACTTAGAAGGCTGAGGTACGAGAATCACTTGAACCTGGGCAGCGAAGTTGCAGTGAGCCGAGATTGCGCCACCGCACTCTAGCTTAGGCAACGGAGTGAGGCTATATCTCAGAGAAAAAAAAAAAAAAAAAAGAAAAGAAAAGAAAATGTAAGCACGAAATCCAATTTATAGTGGCTTTATGATGACAGAATAGACTTCCTGCCCATGTTTCTACTATATTACTAAGCTAATGCTTCTTAAACTTTTGGATGCCTGAGAACCACCTGGAAGGTGGGCCTTTCTCCAGATTTTCTGACTCAGTTGGTCTGGGGCGAGGCCCAAGAATTTGCATTTCTAAGAAGTTCCCAGGTGATGCTGATGCTGCTTGGAGAAACTGCATTCAGGAAAACACAGCATCAGAACAGAACTGTTTTCTCTAGGCAGACTATTTCACAAGTTGTAAATATATTCTCTAACTTGGCTGACTGCCTGCCCTTGAAAGAGAACTATAAATATTGCTTTTATACTACATTTAAGTGTTTTAATTCCTGTGTTTGTAACAATAATTTTTGTTGCAGTGATGCAGTTTACATCTATTGTAATTGCATCTATAACTAAAGAGCTTCTTTATTCTCACTTCTTTATTCTAGCAAAGCCTAGGTTTTTGAACACAAATTATGTTTGTTTGTTTTCCGTGTCAGATCAAGTCTGATTTGTGAATTTCCTCTGAATATGTGCCCCATACTCTGATATGAAAGTTGTTTTAGACTATAAGTCAATTATTCAGTTATATCTTACATTGTCCCAACAATTTATTTTTTCCCTTTTTTCTATTACACAACATCAAATGTTCACTTTATACACTTTCTTTCACATATGGATCATGATGTATTATTTTCCACTGCTAAAAAGATATAAATTCAAGTGCAGATTATTAAATAATGAGCCTTTTATCCAATACACAACTTATCTTTTAAAAGATGAGCACCTTTACACAGTCAGTTAGAATTCTGTGCTAATTTAGACTTCTTCCATTCCTTAATTTCTTTTCTCATTGTTTTATTCCTCCTGACACACATGCACAAGTGTTGGGTGCGTGTGTGCACAAACACGTACAGAAACGATATGCCTAGTGTATGTACATACATGCACACACACCATTGTTTGATTATCAAAATAATATCAGTGTATTTACATAACAGTTATGATTATACATATTACATACTGGAAATTGCTCTAGCATTTATGTAAACAAGAGAGATGAGGCATCAGATTCTCCTATATCACACACAGGTAATCAGCACGATTTAGTTTCTGTTGTCTCTTTGAGTTCAACTCTTAGGCATGAAGAATATACATCATCTAATAACTTTCATATATCATAAAAATATAATAATATATCACATATCATATATATACAATAATATACATTCAATTCTGTTTTCCAAAAGCAAGCCTTATTGATAGTGATATCCTGTCTATATTTTTTCCCTTCTGAAATATTATTCATAAATATATTTTTATAATTATTAAGGAAGCAAGTCAGAGTTGGCTGCTGGATACTAGTTATCAACTATAAAATTAGATTTTTTTGTTTAGGTTCACAGAAGCTTACTTTAAAATTTTGGGAAAGAAATTCCTTTTAGCTAATTATAAAATCACCCAATTTACAGATGAGGAAACTAAATTGTAGAGTGTCTAAATGACATGTGTGATACATACAATTTGGCAGAGATCCTAGACTAGAACCAAAGTGCAATTTCTAGAACTGCATTCTTTCCATTACCCATGGCAGGAACCTAACTTCAAAAAGAATGGTGATCCAAAAAAATCTGACTTCAATATTGAAAGAAATTTCAAAGATACTCTCTCTATGTGTAGTTTCCACTCTGTAACCTTTTCATCTTATTCTTAGCCTGTGAATAGCTGAAATCTCAAAGTAAGCTGTAAGCATCACTGACTTTCAGGAGGGTGAGAACAGTAGCAAGAATATTTATCAAGGTCTCATACTATGTCTATCATGAATAATCACCAAGTTATAGTAATAAATAGATACCCATATATTATAGTTCTCATCAACCTCTAAAATAATGTTTTATATTATCTATCTTACCAAATATTTTTTATGGATTAATCATGTTATACTAGGTACTGAACACTCAAAAATATGTTCTTGCTCAATAATGCCTATATGAACTAAGAAAATGTCTATGTTGTTTTAAAAACCAACCTTTGAAACAGCACCATGATACACCTTTCTAAAAGAACAAAATGAAACCTCAAATCAGACGATTAGGCTGGATGAGTAACATGATTAGAAGCACCAAAAACATTTAATTAAGGTGAAATTGTGCTTAAGAATCTGACAAATATCCCGTTATCTGCAGCATCAACCCTACTCAGTAGGAGAAATAAATTTCTAGAAGGCTTCACATCTGAGACTGTTTCCATCCAGCTTCCATGATAGTAGCCTCTTAAATATTTGAAATCTTAAAACAGTAATGCTACAAGGAACTTTTCAGTTTATCTAGATGAATGTTCACTTTATAGATGAACAAAAAAACCAAGGCCCAGAAAAAAGCATGTCTTTGAAAAGGTCATGCAGTGATTTGTAGGAGAGCTGAGAGTGATACCTCTTCAGAAGACTTCCAAACTATTATACACCTATTACTTGGTCAAGACAAATGGAAACGTTGTTGTTCTGGGTTCTATAGTTACCCATTCTCTGTTTATTCCTTGAGTCACTTTGCTACTTTCTATTCACAGTAAGTGAAATACCTTGAGCCCTAAGCCCGGGAGGTTTAGATTCTTCTATAACTTTCAATTTAATTGAAGCTTTACCTTATTTATTACAGCAGGAGCTAAAAAGGGAACTTCTTTTAATAACAAAAACATCATGAAAGTTATTGTTCAGTTTGGAATGTTAAAGAAAGTGAATAAATTGGTATCTATGAAAAGCTGCTGCTTATTGGTTTAACACAAAAAGTGAACTTTGCAGAAGTCTATAATTAAAATCTAAATTTTTACTTAGTTTTATATTATGGGGCCAGAATTCCTGGTTTTAAAATGTTGACTTTTTAAAGCAATGACTAAACAACTTATTTTGTTCAGTCTAACTTCTTTTTATTCCTTTTTCCATGCCACTGACGTCATATTTTTAAGTTACTGACTCAAACTTTGGGGCTTTGCCACAATGTGGAGCAAAGGATAGGGAAAAGACTAGTAATAGTCTAAATGTTAACACCTGAGTTCACAGAAAAATGCACACAGCCAGTAGCTAAGGAAATGCATTTCTTTAATTGATAAAACATCAGAATTATGCATTTTAGAAAAGTAAAGACAAATTTATGTGTAATTCTTTATTATCAACATCACAATAAGAAGAAAAATAGAAAATGGAGGAGGAAGTTATAGACTTGGAGTGTGGAAATCAGGATTAAAATGATCAGTTTCTTCCCATCAGAATGACTTTAAGTAAGTCATTAGATTTTCCTGAACTTTAGTGTACTCAATCAAAACATAGATGTAATTATATCCGTTTTTCTTGCCTACTCCACCATGTACATGTACAGAGTTATTATGATTATTAATGTTTATAATAAATTTAAAAATGCCTGGAATTGAATGTGATATGTTGTTGTTAAGAATGTACTTAGAATTCAATCGATTGAACATATGAATGATATAAACTCATATCTGACTATTATAGATCAAGTAATTCTAAATACTTCAATTCTATAATCTGAATATCTGTTTTAACTCACCGAGAGGTTATCTTTGAGATTATGGTCAAGCAGTATGCACAGTTCGATTGCATAAAAAAGATATTCCTTTCAACAATTGATATAGGTTCT